TTTACAACTATTATTACCCCAGCAGACCCTCTGAGAACACTCAGAAACATTCTCAGCTTCCGAGGAAGCATACAGTGCAAGCTGCGGATTTCACGCGCTCAAACACTATCAAACTGACAAGATCGTTCACTATCAAACTGTCTATAGCCGGGTACCCATTTCAACCTGGGTGAAGTGAGGAAAATTTGTGCAAAGTGCCTTTCCCAAGGACACAACGTCGGGCACCTGACGGGATTCGAACCCACGACCTTACGGTTGCGAGTCCGAGAGCCTAACCACTAGGCCACCGACGCCACACAATGAATTATGAATTATGCCCCTTATGCCCCGCCAACACACTGGTTGCATTATATCTTAGTTTTATTTCGCTATGTAGGCTATGTTTTGAATACAAAGATTAACGAGCTGGGTACCCCGTTCGATGAACGGACTCAAAAGAATCGATTGTCAAGTCATTGTGGAACCAGTATGCACTGTTTGTGAACCGAACTCTCACTTGTTTACCATGGCGTCTTAGAGGACGGACTTTCCCAAGATTAGATCTAAACGAAACAAAACTAATGAAAAACTGAAAATTAAACTGCAGTGACTTCAGGCTCCTCAATAGAAAGCATCTTTTAAATGATTCTGAACCACCATTAATTTTGTCAGAGTGGAAAGTTAAGTGGTTCCGAAGTTTTAGGTGACCCAAGTGTCGAACCTTCACAAAAATATATAAGACGATGATATACTTGACCCGGCAGGCGAAACTGTGGATTCCATCCATTGAGGGTTGCATCGTTATAGCCCATGGATTAGAGTTAGAGCTGAAAGCATTTGCTGTACAACCGGATTTTTCTCAAGAAAGTGGGTGAACAGTGTCGACACACCAGACAGAAGGATTTGCAGTTCAGAAGGTGGTTTAGGAAATGGGTGCAGATCCAACTTTGCCATTGCTACAGCACATACTTTGTGTTTCATATATATATATGGAAATCTTATGGCCAGGCAGTGTGTCCCAGATTCTGCATAAATTATCCCCAAATTAACTGAGGGATTTTTTAGTGACCGTCCCACGCAGGTTTCTTTCTGCTAAGCTGTACCTCGTAGGATTTCTTGTTCTTCCATAGAAGTCTTAATAGAACTGACGTCTGTGGTGTAGCGGTTAGGCCTTCATTGTTGCACACAGGAGGTCCAAGGTCGATTCTCAAGTTCGCAAAAATTTTTCAAGTCTCTGTCTTTCTGTCGGGATGTTGTGTCCCTCTCAGCCCAGGTTGGGCCTGACAGGCAGGGTTTGAAGCCCGCCTCCTAATTGATCAAAATTGTGCCGATGGGGGAGGGG